CTATTATTCCAAAACAATTATTTTAACCTTAAAAAACTGAGGCTATTCAAGCAATACAAGAAAAATATCATCCGTGAAAAAAAAGATTATAAAGAACCACTTGTAAGTCTCTGAATTGACTTTGTGAGGCCATTCTGTGCTTCATGAGCATCACCGTTGGTGGATGACGGGCCAGGAGGCAAGACCATTCTTATTCCCACCGCTTTGTCTCTTATAAGCGGCTGTAACAAGAGATTGGGGAGCAGGGCATGCTCTAACAATTGGGTTTCTCGGTTACTGAGACCCTACCCCCTGTTCGTATTAAAATTGGATAAATGAAACCTCAAGTAAAAGACCATTAAAAATAACATGGAAACCAGCCCCGAGACCATGTAATACACCATATTGCAAATATATGTGTTCACTGTGGGAACTCCATAGCAAATAATCAATTTTCTAGAGTAACCTGATGCAAAAGACTGAAGATTGTTGGGGCCAGCCCTGTGGCTTAGCAGTTAAGCGTGTGCTTTCCGCTGCTGGCGGCCCGGGATTGGATCCCAGACGCGCACTGACGCACCGCTTGTCAGGCCATGCTGTGGCGGCGTCCCATATCAAGTGGAAGAAGACGGGCACAGATATTAGCCCAGGGCCAGTCTTCCTCAGTAAAAAAGAGGAGGATCGGCATGGATGTTAGCTCAGGGCTGATCTTCCTCACCAAAAAAAAAAACAAAAAAAAAACTGAAGATTGTTTAAATCAAGTTAACGTCAAAAAGATTGTAAAAGCTGCAACAACTAAAAGGCATTTTGAGGAGTCCAGACGAGCATGGTGGGCCCGTAGGGTAGCGAGGCTTGGAGGAACTTGGAGCTAACCAAATGCAGTTCTTCCACCTGTCACTTTAAGTAACTTAAGCGGGGTTAAAACATATGAACTACTATGATCTTATGAGTAACCATATTTACTAATGCTTTGAAGTTTCTCTGTGTGAAAAACGTATAAAATGCGTTTGTTGTAATCTTCACGTGTCTGCTGCTAGAGGAAGGGGCGTGAGTTAGGGTGGGGTGTAAGAGAGAAAGGGTCTGTCAGTGCATTGCGGACGTTGACTTCGCATCCAGCCTCGAGGGTGTGAAGAAGCATCTGCACATGCTGCAGCGCGCCGGAAGCATCCTTCTTCATTCGGCAGATCCTTATTGAGCGCTTACTGTGTCCCGTATGGCAGCCGCTGGCCACCTGTGGCTATTGGACACTTGAAATGTGACCAGTGCAGCTGAGAAATTAATTTTTAAATTTTCTTTCATTTTAATTAAATCGCTACATATGACTGGTGGCTACTGTATTGGATACTGCAGCTCTAAAATTTAACAGTCAATTAAACAGAGGCCATTTTCTCAATCTTGTGAAGGAGAAAGACAGTAGGTCAACCCATAATCACACGAGAATGTGATAATGCTTTCATTTTTAATAAATAGAAAAACTATAGTTTGTCCATTCAATAAATATTCATTGAGCAAGCATCATACTCGAGGTTCCTTCAACCACCGTGGGAAATACTAGTGGAGGCTTGACAAGAGTACTGAAAGCAGGAAGGAGGAATGAGACAGTGACATGAATTCCAACCATAAGCTGAGCTTGGACCCTCCCTGCATGTGGGAGATGTGAGTGAAGAGCCAGACATGGCACCTGCCAACTTCATTTACCTGGGTTTCACCTTAGTGCCAGCTTCCCAGTTATTCCTAAGAATCTACCGTTTATTCCACATGGTTTCTGTCACTCTGGGGACATTCCAGAATTGTGGAATGTCACATAGAAAGACTCATATGTGTTGGTAGACACGAGCGCAAATGAATGTGGAAGTGATGGCGGCAGTGAGGCAGGCTGGCTTTCCCAGCAGGTGGATGGAGAACACCTGCCAGGTAGAGGAGCCGCACCCACTCTCGTGCAGGTGTGCAGATTCTCTACTTCCAGCTCACGGGACACCTCATCAGCAGATGTGGTGTTCACAGAATGTGGGTTGAGGAGGACCCACACTCCCCAAGTGTTCCAGAATTGCTTTCTATGCTTCGCTTTGAAATATTCCAAACTATTGGGTCTCGTAGACCAGGAGACATCTGTCGATTTGAGCAGATTTTTGAGCCATGTGCTGTTTGACACAGAGAGAATGAAATCTGTCTTGTGGGCTTGAATTCTGCTGTCACATTTAAAGTGAATAGCAGACCTGGCAGTCAATTAGAATGGCTCAAATAGAGAAGGGACAAACGGGATCTGTTTGTAGTTGGAGTGCAATTTTATTTACTGTTTACATTAACGGCCAGAAGGAAAAGCTTGAGCATCAAACCCTGTGAAGTGGCAGAAGACACTGGAAGTTTGATGCCAGCTAGTTCCAAACAGTTTTAAAAATGAAGCCAAATTGTTTACAAAATGTAGGATAGGGAAGTAAAACCAATCCAGGTGAAAATAAGACAATTTCCGTTCTCTTGCTCTAAACTCTGCAGCTTCACCATCTCAAGGTCTAAGCAAAACATGAGCCACTTTGAGATTTTGGGCAACGAAGTGTGTGAGAGAATAAAACAGGAAATCCCATCTGAGTGCTGAGTGCATCTGAAGACGCTTCCCGTTGCCATGTTGAGGTGGGGGTATTTTGAATAACATTACTGAGGAGCTTGGAGTCAACTGGTTTTACATCATTTCCTAGCAATCTGGATGAAGCTGATGGTTAAAAGTGGGCCTCCTTATCTGTTTTAGTGAATGCCCGTCGTGGAGTTTTGATGGCAGAACAGTCGCATCAAAGAATTTCTTAGTGAGCTGAGACGAGAGAGAAGAGGTAGGGGAAGGTAGCAATAGTCATTGTGACCTGCAAAATCACGGCAGACCCTGCAAGAGCAAGCATGCTTACTGTCACATCTACTAACTTATTATGTGGACAAACACAGAGTGAATGCATCAAACAAGGCCACTCAGATCCAGGACCACCTTGTGAGAAGACTGGTTGGTATGGACCTTAGATTTGACTAGTTGTCAGGTAGAAATTCAGCACAATGGGGGTGGAGAGCAAGGTGGAGTGGAACCAATCCATCAACACTATGGAATGTTTGTCTGAGATGACTGACTCAGATTCTTCCCAAAACATGTAAAAGTTCACATAAAAGAAATCTCGGATATCTGTTTATTTCACATTAGAAATACTATATAGACCAATATTTGTTTTTTCTGGTTATAATAAGTATTATTCTTGTTTTGATTCTTATATTTTTAAGCGATGATAACTTGTAAAAGGCAAATGACTGATCATCCTAGTATTTCGTAGGATAGTGGCACTGCCTGTGTGCAGCTCCTCATCTCCTGTCTCACGCGCCCTCCAGTCTGCTCTCCTCACTGCACCTTGCTGTCACCTTCCTAACGTACACATTTGATTGCATCATTGAGCACATGAAAGAACTCAAATAACTCCCTATTTCCTGCAAAAAATCTAGAAGCCCATAATTAGTCCATAGGTTGGTCTGATCCTGCCAACTCTCAACCCTTACCTCCCGCTCTCATGCACACTCCCCCCTTCACACTCTAGACTGCAGTGTTTTGTTTTTATTTTAGTTTCCTGAACCTATCATGCTCTTTCATACATTCACATCTTTGAAACCTCTCTGTTTTGCTTGGAGTGTATTGAAATAGTCTCTTTCTCTCACAGACGACATGTATCTTTCCTTCAAGGCCTGGCACCAGTGTTGCCTCTTCCTGGGGAACTCTCAGCTCCCTTCACTGGCTGCCCCTCTTTTCATGGCCTAGTGTCCTCTGTGTATTTTCATCATAGCGCTTGTCACACTCCACCCATTCATTCAACAGCCTTTTATTGAGTGCCTGTGACCCGCCAGGTCTTTGTGTACTGTGGTAAATTGTGATCATGGTTCAAACACATTCTTACTCACTTGTCTAAGTCCCCAGTTGGATCCTTGAGGTGAGGATCTGTGCGTTTCACCTCTGAATCTCCTGCACAGCACAGGGTCCAGCACAAAGGAGCCTTCCAAGATAAATATGCACTGGATGGGTGCATGACTGAATAAATATCTCACCATTCCCAGATCTAAACATAAGCTAATTAAAGTCTACAGGAACCCCTACCAAAGTAGTCGGTTAGTAATGGAGATTGTACATAGCATTTTAGACAAATGGGATATTTGCCCACCCTGTTTTTGCCTCTGTCTTTTTTCCCCTTTTTCCTTGTAGTATATACATAGAGTGTTCAGGAAGAAAAGAACTGTAATTAGCAACATAGCTTTGGAAAATTTCCCTTCCTCCAGGAATGAGTGTGAGCTCCTGCTGTAAGGGGCTTACCCACATTTGGGCTGATTTCAACATGATTTGGTAATGACTGCCAATATCGCTGAGTGTTTCTGTAATGCTGGGGGTGGGACTGATGCAAGCGAAGACAGACAACATTCTTATAAGTTTAATTGTAGAGTTTCTCTCACCAACAGGTGTTTATGGCTCGTCTTCTTTGAGTAGGTTATGGTGTCTAAAGATAGAATTTTATCCATGGAACGTGTAAATCCAAATATATCCAAAGCTTTTTCACAACGTGTATTTTTATATATCACATAAATGTATATATGTTAATAGAGCGTGCATGAACTAATTCTTCTTTTAAAAATGTGCATTACACACAGTATATATTTGGTAAGATGTTTACTAAATTTGTGTTGTCAACTGCATGATATGATGCAAGTGCTTCATAAGCCATCCTGATGAATTTTATTAAGATCTCCATGTTATTACGAGGAATGATAGTAATGAGGAACTGGAAGATCAGGCAAAATGTTAATGGTAACTAGACAAATGCAAGCTGAATTTCTTTGTACTATCATTTCGTTAAGAGATTTTGGCACGTGTGTGAGAACGGGTGTATGCTTAGATCCTGCCGGCATTTGTGCTGACGGCACGCATGCTAAACCTTAGCTCTCTTGGTCAGAACTCTCATTGCTCAGATCTTCAAAGATAGTAACACATCTTCTCTCTCTCTCTTTTTTAACAGTGTGTATGGCTGCCCCTTGGCTAAAAAAAGAAAAACACAAGATAAACAGCCCCAAGAACCTGCTCCTAAACGGAAACCGTTTGCAGTGAAAGCAGACAGCTCCTCAGTAGACGAGTGCTATGAGAGCGACGGGACTGAGGAGGACATGGACGAGAAGGAGGAGGACGACGAGGGGGAGTACTCTGAAGATGACGACGAGCAGAGGGACGAAGATGACGAGGAGGAGGAGGTGGACCGCGAGGAAGAGGAGGAGATTGAGGAGGAAGATGACGACGACGACGAAGATGGAGAGGATGTGGACGAGGAGGAGGAAGAGGAGGAGGAGGAGGAGGACGAGGAGGAAGAAGAAGAAAATGGTAATCTTTAAAATATTAGCAAAGTATCCAGTGGTGATTTGGGCCAGTGTTTCCACAAGAGTTGCCTGGTGTTAACATTCATGACACATTGACGACTACCGTATAAATAAGTCGTCCTGGTCAATGCTGAAAAGAACCACCATTTATGTGTCTTTAACTTTCATTTTAAAGAATTCCTTTAAATTATCTATTAGACACTAGATTTTATTTCAGTCGTCATTGTTCAGATTGGTCATCACAAATACTTGCTGAAATATTTATTGTGTACATGTGATTAGCTTAGCAATTTTTTTCCAGAAAGTTAAGTTAGCACATCTAGTCTTTAATTTTGCATTTTCTTGGATGCTCTACCCAAGAGATACTGCTATGAGCCAAAATAGTGGTGTTGGGATGGCTTAGCCCACATGCCTCCCCGGGAGTTGGGAGCTTTGTTGTGACCACGGCTGCATCAACTGGTGAAGTAGGTTTTGTCTGTCCATAGCCAAAGCTTTACTTTGGTGACTGTCACGTATTGGGATGAGAAGGAATACTGCTGAAATGAATTGATTAGTCGAGCCGCATCTGCTTCCATAGTCGAGAACCGTGTTTCTGCTCTGAGGCATCCAGCATTGTGCGTGAGACATAGAAGTGAAAAGCATGTTGCACAGGGTAGTGGGCGTGTTTTAGGCAATACACATAAGATGATTTTGCTTTTATATCCAGTTTTATTTTAGTGTCAGACTCAAAAATATGACTTCAAAGCTAATCTTTTCGAAAAAGTCATTTCTTCCCTAAAAAGAAGTGGCAGTTGTCTGAAGAGTCTAGTTAGATCTTCATTGGCTTCAAGTTTGCCTCAGAGAAATGCCAAAACATGTTTAAGACTGAAGGGAATGTTTTTTTTCTTATGCTTCTTCCTGGGATTCAAAGCTCCTCAAGAATCTGAATTCTGGGAGACCTAATTTCTCAGTACAAAGGAGAGTTGTTCCAGCCAGTGGAGAGAGCTCTTTTAGATCAGGCAGGTGTGAGTCGGTTGTTGCTAATCCTGTGTGGCGAGCATAAGTTAACATTCCTCTTTCAGAAGTCGTAATAGTTTGTTCCAGTAAACCTGAATTTTTTGAAATAATCCTGGACTGTTACAGTGCTTTAATGTCCTTATGAAAACAATTCACCACTTACATTCATGTAGATATACAAGCGTATCTATATATACGTGTATACACACACACACATATACATTTTATGGATTAAAATTTGGCCTCTCAAGATTATTTTTCCTGCTTTGATATTCTAGAGCATGGTGTGGAGAAAGCGTAATTAGGAATATCAGACACACACATATAAGCACCACCAGTTCTACTAAGTGGACCACGGACATAATGCCCCAGTGCCTTTAACGAGGTGATGCGGAGTTTCATGCTGAGAATGAACAGTAGCTCTGTGTAATAAAATCTGTGGAAAGTTGGGGAGTAGACAAATTTTGCAAATTATTTCTAGACACTGTATTAAATGTGTGTAGTTTTGGGTGAAATCGTTAATTGTTGAGGCTGATTAATGATTTGTAACTTAACCACGACTTATTATAAAGATGGCATAAAATATTGCTTTTCCATGTTCTCATTCTATGTTTGAAAGCAGTAGAATTAATAAGTTATGTATATTTGTATGTGTGATAGATTAGGGTAGGATTTGTAAATATGCACCATTTAACCAAGGGTCTTAACCGAATTTTAGGTTCTGCTCTCTGTTTGCTAGAGACTTTCAATTTTAGTTTACTTAGGGTCATATTTTTTTTTTTTTTGTGAGGAAGTCCATGCCAATCCTCCTCTTTTTGCTGAGGAAGACTGGCCCTGAGCTAACATCTGTGCTCATCTTCCTCCACTTTATGTGGGACGCCGCCACAGTGTGGCCTGACAAGCAGTGCATTGGTGCATGCCAGGGATTGGAACCCAGGCCACCAGCAGTGGAGCATGTGCTACACCACGGGGCTGGCCCCCTTTAGGGTCATATTTTAAATAATCTATTTTTAAAAATAAATGGGACATATTTTGTAAAAGTAGTCGGCATAATTACTTGTGGGCATAATGATAGTACCGTGAAACAAACAATTGCATAGTTATAATGTAGGCCCCAGCATTTCTAATTACCAATGACATGACCCACCTAGCAAGGTGACCAGCACTCAAGTGCTCAGCAAATTTTGTGTCTGAATCTGAGGCACACAAGGAAGCAGGTTCCGGAAAGAAAATACCCATTAAGAGGCTAAATAATCGATTGTTGGATTCCTGGTTTCAGAATTTATATTCAGCATCTGGATCCCCAGCTAAGCACCTGCTAGAATCATCTATTACATGAACTTTAAAGGAATCAACTGGAACTACTAAAGAAGGGTTCAGCCATGGGGAAATCTTATGCGATCATTAGGCTATCTCCCTCCATTATAAGACAAATATATCCGATTTACTGAATATATTTGGCTGTAAAATGTAAGCATTTACTCCCTTTCAGGTAGCCTCTGTCAACCTACAAAAACAGAAACCAGTTTAAGAGGCAAATTGTTTATTTGAGATCTGAGAATTACAATTCAGGGAGCACAGATTCAGGTAGAAACCCAAATAGTGTCCTGATTATAGGAAAGGGGCTCAGGGTGTTTATGGAAAAAGGGAGGATGAGATGAGTCGTGTTAAGGAAGAGTTCACTGGTGCTAGAGGAGGTAAGGCTGGGTCTGTACTTCATAGATTGGCTTGAGATTCGGTCATCAGGCAAAAGGCTAGACTGGTACTTCATTGACTGGTTGAGATTTGGTCATCAGCTAAGTCCATTTCACCAGTGCTTACAGACAGGATATTCTTGTCCTTACTGACTTCTTGGAACATTGGTGGTTTGGTCCAGTTTGGAAGATAAAGAAAACAAGACATGCAAGGCAATTCCTCTGAAATGGCTGCTCTGGCTCTATTTTAATATGGCTCTACTCATGGCATCTTTCACACGTCTCATGCGAATTCTTAGTCTCAAGGAGTAATTTAGATAAACAATAATGGCCTGTGTGGAGCACCCTCCACCATGGTTCTGATTGCTGCAAGTTCTCTGCAGAGAGACACCAAAGCTTTCTAAGATTTCTAAGTCAAACGAAAGTACCTCTCTTAGGAAGAAATCGCTTCACAGGCCTGGTTCCTGGAGACTGTTTCACTAAGCTTCTCCGTTATAGAGAGAAGTCTCCATTGGAGGAGCCCGATGAACAGGTGTTCCAAGACTCCAAATAGCCAGTATCACATGAAGATATTCTGGTGGACTGTACTCCAGGTATTTCATAACCCCACAGGGTCAGGAATCTTCAGGTAGATTCTAGATCCAAGGAACTGCATAGCTTTGTTGATTGAGCACTCATTTTACGTGATCAAACTCCTAGCTGTGTTTAATTTAGTGAGAAAAAGCTTCGAAAGGCATATGTCTGTCAATCTCCTTCTTCTCTTCTCCCTTCTTTCCCTTTACCAAATACACTCTATTTTACCTAACTGCTAAATTTAGTGCCAACATCACTATTGACAAATGTGAGTTTCTGCCACAATAGCAATGTCTTTAACGCAAGAAACGCAGTGTGAGTGCTACAGGACATTCCACATAGTGCATGAGAGAGATGTGTGTCTGCCCCCTCCTTGAGTGGATTTAGCAGACATTGTGCATGCCTGAGAAACTGGGGGGTGTGCCTTTCTGTGTCTGGTGACCAGAGTTCTGGGTCACCATCTTGAAGTTGGCCTTGCATGTCCCTTGGTTGATACTCATGGTGACCATTATATCCCTGGGCCGTCAGCAGATTCTCTCCAAGATGGATTGTGCCTTTTTCTTAGCAAATAGAAGCACAGAAAGGGACCTAACAGAGAAGCAAAGCAGTCATAACACAGTGAGAGGAGAACATCCCGGACAGAGCCAAGAGTCTGGCTCACACATGCACGTCTGCAAGTAGTAGACGATCACCTAACATGAAGAAACCAGGGCATCATGATGGAGCCGGAAGGACAAAACTTAAGCTGACGTCAGCCTTATGAGTAGAAGTAAAGTCTCAGACTATTTCTACTAATAGGATGCCATTATTTGCTTTTCCAGTGTAGTATTTTCCACTTCCATTATAAATTGAAATATGTAGTTTATTGAGAGATTTTGTTTTAGATAAAACAGATGTATACAAACCACCAGATTAGAACAATAGGAGCCCACGGATTATGGAAAGACTCTTATTTAGAACTTGGGAATTAGATATTAATTTTAATTCCAAGGATCCTCCAGCATCGTGGTTACATATGAACCAAAACGTTACTGGTGATGTGTATTTCCAGTGGTTATATTAATGGACAGTATTGTTTGATTTTCACAGTGATTGTGTAAGGCAGGTAGAGAAGAAACTACTTCACTCTCATTAGAAACTGAGGCTCAAAAAGAGTTGATTATTCTCAATAAGTGGTGGATATATGGTCAGACTCTGTTGATGGTTTTTCTCACTATGGAGCTCATGTTCTTTTTACGACTTTCTGCTTATTTGAACAACAGGGAAGAATATCTGAGTAATTCATTTCAGATTACATTAAGTTCATGTTTAATTAATCAAAATGATATTTCTTGTCCAGTTAATCTATCATAGGCTGGTCTTTTGCATGAAGAATTTTATTTTCAAAATACATTGTAATAGTCTAAGTCTGCATTTATTAAATAAAAGTTCCCTTGTTATCCTAAAGTTAAAAAAGTTATTATTCAGGGGTCATAGATTTTTCTATTCGCAGATTTTGTACATGTTATGGTAAATATCCTTTTGGATTCTTGTGATTTGAGAAATATAGATTAAATGGTTATTTAATGCCTAGTAAGTTATGGTGTATTTTCATACTTCAGCCCACAAAAAAGAATAAATATTTAAATATTGTATGTATATATACTCACATGTGCGTGTATACAATAAGTATATATGTCCTTATGAGTACATATTGTAACTGCCCACTGACAGGAAAGAAAATTCCATGAGGAGGAACATA